TGCAGAGGCCAGGCGGCCTGAGCCACCCCCAGCCCGAGGGCGAGGCAGCAGAGGAGCCNGCAGCAGCAGCATGCAGAGGCCAGGCGGCCTGAGCCACCCCCAGCCCGAGGGCGAGGCAGCAGAGGAGCCCCGCTGCTGCCTCGCGCATACTGGGGTGCAGCAACTAGCTATGTGCTGCTGTGTTCAGCTAGCTGCGGGCTCGCAGCTAGCTGCTCAGCTAGCTAGCTGAGCAGCTAGCTAGCTACACAGGCTGCTGCAGCAGAGAGAGAGAGAGAAGGAGCGCAGCTTGATAGCCGCGCCTGCAACGGCCTCGCGGCCGTACAGACGCCGCCAGAGAGACTATGGGGTCTATGTGGAGAAAAAGAAGAGAAAATGTTTATTATTAACTTTAAAAAAAAGAAATAAATACAAAAATAAAGAAAATTGAGGCCGAAACGCCATGGAGATGCCGCTGCTGAGCCGGGGTGTATAGGGAGAGAAGAAGTTGAATTCGCTGTGCAGCAGCAGCGGCATCAGCAGGAGAAAACAAAACTATTTTTCTTTTTATTTTAATTTATTTTTATAAAATATTATTTATTTTTTATTCAAAACAACAAAAACAAAACCAAAAGAAACCCAATGTACACCCAGTGGTGAGGTCTCGGTGCTGCATGCCCATAGACCGTCGAGACGCCTTGGGGCTTGCCTAGCGTTGCAGTTTTTGTTTGTCTTTTCTTTATTTTTTTTATTTTTTTATTTTTATTTAATTATTTATATTTGTTTCTTATTCTCCTTTTGATTTTATTCTGCTGGTTTCGGGATCCTTTTCTTTGTTTCTTACCTTGTCGTTGTTGTATCTCTTCTTCTCTGTTTTTTCATTGTCGGTTTACTCTCTTTTGTTTATTTTTTCTTTCTCGCTCTTTCTCTGTTGTTGTTGTTTCTTTTTGCCTGTCTATACAGCTCTTTTTTCTGCTGTTTTCTCTTCGTTGCTGCAACCCCATGTCTTTGTTGCTTTCTATGTATTGTACTTTTGTACATGTTGCTGCCCGCCTCTCTCGTTGCCTCTTTTCTTTGATTTTTTGTTTCTGCTTTCTTCTTCGGTCTCTTGCTTGTTCTGTAATTGTAACATAATCAGTGCGCAGTTCCCATATATATATATATATGTATATATATATATATATATATATATATATATATATATATATATATATATATATATAATACGCTGGCTATGGAATCCAGGCGAAGCAAGTGTTCTACATTTCTCTATATTTTTGGTGCAGCTGATGTATAAAACAAAGGAATACTCGTTGTGCATGCAGGAGAGGTTGCCTTGCATCACTACCTGCGTTGGGTATCACCAGGCTGCCCCCTCTCCCTCAGCCCCAGCCCCTGAGGCCCCCCCTGAGGCCCCCGGTCTCAGGCTACGTGGGGTCAGCATTATTATTATTAATATTATTATTAATATTATTATTATTAATATTTTCATTCCATTTCATCCCGGAGCGGACCCCGATTAAGATTCACGACCGTCGATACACCTCGTAGCACCCCAGGGTCACCGGGCTTGCCTGGTGCAAGGGAGTTATATATAGCACTGGTTAGTGCTG